GAAGCACTTGCTGAACAATCAACCTGGGGATAGGTGGGAGGAAGGAGCCCACAGTCACCCCATTCCCCAGGATGAGCCATGAGCCCTTAACTTTCTGTTAAGTCCTTGCAACCCAATCTGGGAGCCCCATCCCACTTCCCAGTGGCAGGTTGAGACCCAGTCCAGGGGCCTGTGTCCCTTCCCTGGGAGAAGGATGGTCTAGGAGAGAAGTCCCAGGTTATGAGGACTAAGTGGGCAGGTGACTGGCCCTGGACACTTATGGCCAGCCATGCTGCTCCCTGTACCCTCTGCCCTGGCCCCCACCCCCAGCCAGTCCCCAGGCCCTCCACGGGGCAGACACTCACACCTGGTCTGGCTCCACGTGGTCCTTTTCCAGGCATTCCAGCATGGGCGGGTCCAGGCCTAGAAGCAGCCCCCAACGAGGGCACAGGTGAGAGGGCCCAGCCCTGCAGCCGCCCACCCCAGTCCCCTGGACACCACCCTGATGGGACTTGTCACTCTCGGGGAGGAGAGGAGGAAAGAGGACAGAGAGCCAGGGAGGAAAGTGTCCCCAGCTCCGTGAGCTTTTCTGTTAAGTCCTTCACAGGCGTGAGCTCAGCGAACTCCAGTGGCCAAAGGAGACAGGCTCATTGTCCCTCCTTATGGAGAAAGCCACAGGGGCACGGACTGGCCTGAATGTGGCCCACTGGGGTTTAGACAGGAGGTCTGACTGACACTGGAGATTCAGAGACAAAGGGGGGGGCAAGGAGAGAGCAAGGGGAGGGGAGAGAGAGAGAGAGAGAGAGAGAGAGAGAGAGAGAGAGCGAGCATGTGCCCCATGAGAGAGCAGGGGAGACCCAGGGTGTATGGCAATGTCACTGCAATGGGCTATCTGCCCTGGTTTGAGGACCCCGGGGGAGGGAGGGCAGATGCAGAAGATGTCTTCCCACCTCTGGACCAGCAGGACTCTTAGCCCACTGCCCAGTTCCTACCCAGGGGACCCTCAGCCCCTCCACCAGCCTTTGTCCCTGAGTTTCCCCCATGGGACCCTTTAGTGGAACCCCATTCCCTGTCCCCTTCCCTCCCAGACCTGGTGTGAATGAGGAGCACTCTAGACCAGGCTACCTTGCACAGATGGGGCTGGCACTTCCAAGCCAGGAGCAAGTTCCAGGGAGCTGATCTCCTCGCAGGACAGGGGAACTGACCTGGACCTCACTCTTGGCTGGGGGCTGCCACGTTCCTGCAGGGAGTAAGCACCTCCTTGAACCTGGGACACAGCCTGGCTGCAGGCAGTTTCCCCAGATCAAGGGCCCCAACCACGTGTAGCCAGGGCTATAGTCACAGAACTTGGGGACACACTTGCCCCAGCCGAAGGACACTGACATGGCCATAATGTCCATTGCCATGGGCCAGAGTTCTGGCGAGGATCCCCAGCTGTGGGCTGGAACCCCAGCCCCCAAGCTGCAGGAGCAGGAATGCCCACCTGCATCAGGGGCCAAGATGCCCCAGCCTAGGCCCTAGCCCAGCCACACATCCCCCAGCTGTGGGCTGGCCTCAGGTCCGAGAGGGGCCCTCCCTAGCTGCAGATCCCTTCCTCTGCAGACGCAGCCAGCCAAAGGCCCTCTGGGCCTGGCCGGGCGCTCATCAGCTGCATTTGTGGCCAAGGTTCTCTGCCCACCCCAGGGGCACCTCACGGACCTGGGATGCTGCTGTGGTTTGCATATGGCCTCCCCCTCCCCCTCCCATGCTGGAGTCTGTGCCCAGTGCGAGGAACTCAGAGGACAGAAACTTCATCCCAGTATGGTGTCAGGGCCTTTGAGAGGTGACTGGCTCAGATAAGGTCACCAGGGTGGAGCTCCCATGATTGAATCCTGCCTGGTGGCTATATAAGAAGAGAGACAGAGAGAGACCAGAAGACACGCGTGTGCTCCCTGTCCCTCATGCTGGGACTTTGGCAGCAAGAAGGCCATCACCAGATGTAGTCCCTTAACCTTGGACTTCTTTGAATCATGAGCCCAAACAGACCTCCTTACCACTTATCGGGTCTGTGGGGTTGTGGTATTAGCAACAGAAAGAGCATGGCCTGCTCAGATGGACTCTCAGGAGGGGAGACGCCCCCTTCATAAGTGAGTTCTGCGGCTCTGGGAGGCACCTTCTCCATGTGCAATAGGCCTCCAGACGCAGAGGTGCGCTATTGTGCACAGCTGCAGGCCACACCCACCTTGCCTGGGTGTTCTGCTGGGGTCTCATCCCCAGACAGACACCGCTGGGTCCAAGTTTTCAGCCCCTCTCCTGACAGATTCAGAGCAAGGCTAGCCAGTGTCCGAGGGAGACAAGGTCCCGCATCCGAGGCCGAGGCATCAAGGCTGAGCCTGGGGAGAAGGGAGAGTATCAGGGCTTCAGTCTTGTTTACCTGACCACTGCCCCAGGCATCCAAGGGCTTGAGGGGACCTGCAGGGGAGGGGTGTGTAGGCCACAGAGAGCTCCGGGCTTCCCCACATGGGAGGGGCCTGCATCAGCACGGAGGAAGCCTGGTTAGATTTGCCAATGCTACATTTGCATCAAAGACCCACCTTTTGGCACAGACTAGATTCCTATTTGGGGTGATGGGAGGAATGAAGGGACAAGGATGGGCAGCTAAGACCTCTCTTCATTGCTGCTGCTGCTGAGGGGTGCATGGAGCTGAATATGTATCTGTGTTTGGATCACAAGTGATCTCTGACGTGGTGTATGTTGCATGGGCAGTGTGCAAACCATGCCACTTATAGGCTTCCAAGGGCAAATGTACAAGTGTGTAGGCTGAACGTGGATGTGCTCAGGAAAGTGTGCCCAGGCTGGCGTGTGCCCGGGCTGGTGTGTGCCTGCAGTGTGCAGCACAGTCTTGGATTTGGCTTGGGCACGCACATTTGATCAGCACACAAGTGAATTCGTGTGCCCTCACAGGCTCCCATGCTAGTGCATGCAGGTGTGTTCTGCATGCCACTGGGTGTGCCTACATGCACGCGGGTTTGTAGGCACATACGTGTTCATGCAAGCTCATGTCCAGGCTGCCTCTGACAGTGCAGATACCCTCGTGGCCCTGGAGCTAGACGATGCAGGCATGGGGTAGCAGTGTATGCTGGCTTTCCAGACCCCTGCCTTGTCCTGGGGGTGCACCATGAAGGTGTGCAGTGGTGGGGTGTGGGGCAGAGCGGGCTCACCTCTGCCAGCTCCCGGAGCAGCTCCGGGACCTCTCCCAGCTCTGTCTCCGTCTCCGTCTCCATGGCAGGACCTGGGCCCCTGCTGAGCTGGACAAGGGCGAATCTCTTCCACCTTCTTTGTTACAGGGGGTGCTGCCTATGGCCTCCCCAGGCTGGCTATGGGAAGCGGCCCCTAGACCCAGGTCCTGGAGATATTCGCTGCCCCGAAGGGCTTCCAAATCCAGGCTGAGGTCCTCTATGCTCTCACTGAGTGGCGCTGGAAAACCATCTTCCTATAGATTGGTGGGAGAAGAAAGCATTGACCTGGGGCAGCAGACCCAGGATCTCCTGGCCATGAGACCCCCATGCTCAGCACCCAGGCCCTGCCTATGTCCCTCCGGTTCAACCTGTCCCTCAAGGGCCATGCCTCACCTTATCATCCCCATCTGATCATCATGGACAGTCACCTCTGCCCTCCTGCTCACCAGCTAGTGTTTATTCCTGGTTGACATACAATCACTGTACATATTCACCGGGTACAGTGTGACAATTTTGCTACATGTATACAATGTAACCATCTAATGGGATAATTTTAAATATCAGAGAGGCTTTGGATTCCTCTTGAATTCTTCATAAAATATGTAAGAAATTATTGTAAACTATAGTCATTCTACTGTGCTGTAGAACATTAGGGCTTACTCTTCCTATCTAATTGGCTTTGGGGACCTGTTATCCAACTTGCCAGCTTATTTTAAGGCACATGAAAGCTGATGTCTGTGATCCCAGTCTGTAAAATCCCTGTGTGGAGACAGGTAATCGTTGGTGCCGACGGTGCAATTTCACTCAGGGTCCGAGTTCCTCGCCTTTTTCTTGGACTGCTTAGGGGATCTCCTCGCAGGTCTCCTGGACCCTAAGTATCTCTCCCACGCTAGGAATGGTGAGCCACTTGCCTTGGATACAAAATGCAAGTGGGTGCCAAAAACCCCTCAGTTGCTCAGGTAAATATTTTAATGCAATATGTTTTAAAACTCAAAAGTAATGCAAGGTGATCCATGGTGAGTATGTTACCCAAATTTTAAATAATAACAGTATAGGCTGAATGTCTCTTATTCAAAATGTTTGGGAACAGAAGAGTTTCGGATTTCAGGTTTTCTGAGATTTCACAATATTGGCATGTACACAATGAGGTAATGTGGGCATGGGATCCAAATCTAAGCATGAAATTTGTTTCTGTTTCACGTACACATTATGCACATAGCCTGAAGTCATTTTATGCACATTTTGTGGTGCACCTGTGTTTGGGCTGTGACCTGTCCCATGTAGTCGGGAGTGGAATTTTCTATTCTTAGGGTCTGTCTGGTCAGTGCTCCTGAAAGTTTCGGCTTTGGGGGAGGGGCTTTGGATTTGGGGTTTTCCAGATTAGGGATGCTCGGTTTGTATTGCACCCTGTGTTTGTGCTGCTCGCTTTACCCACCTTCCACTGGTCTCAGCCCAGACATCTCCCACCACAGTGGAGCCTGAAACTCGGAGCTGTGAAGCCCCTTTAGCAACTTCTCTCCCCGGCAGGGTAGGGAGACCCAGGCTACTCAGCTCAGCACAAAACATTCCAAGCTTGTCCACCTCCTGCCTGGCCCCCTTGCAGCCTCATCTCCAACCCACCCAGGAGGCAGTGAGGTGCCAGGCACTGTGAGACACCAAAGAGGCAGAGATGTGGACAACGCCCAGGCGCTACTGGAATTTCTCACCCTGATCCCAAGTTGCCTGATCGCTAATCCCTCGACTGCTCCACCAGGGGGCGCTGTGCTTCCTTCCGCGGTGCAGATCAGAAGCCTGAAGCTTGTGGAGGAGAAAGGACTCACCCCGGCCACACAATGACCAGCAGAGCCAGACTCAAACTCAGGTTTGCTTAAAATGAAGCCTTATGTTCCTCATGAACTGTTCTCTCTCCTCTTCTCTGGCCTTTGCTTCTCTTTCCTCTCCCAGTCATGCTATCTTTGCAGAGAACCGCCCTTTCCCCTGCTTGGAGAACCTCTGCTTGCGCTCAACCCACCCAGAGATGGCCTGGCGAGCTCCTGTGCATCCTTCAAAGCCCAGAATGGGAATGCACTCCAGGCTGCCTCCCAGACTCCTTGAGGATCTGCAAGACAGGAGCTGCCCCTTCTCTGTCTTGGTTGGGACTATCCCCAGGCTTTGGTGGGGAGGTGGGTGGGTGGGCCGGATCCATGGCTCCATGTGAGGCCCATGCTCAGGCGTGGACTAGGCTTCTGGGCCATCTCAGGCAGCCCTTGATGGGCTCTGCTGATTGGTGGCCTAAAGCAGGCCACTGAGGGGAACCGGTCCCTTTTGTACATTCTATAGGAAGCCCCCATGATAGCATTGCCAGATAAAGCATAGACACCCAGTTCAATTTGAATTTCAGATAAGTAGCAAACACGTGATTCAGGAGTCTACCCCAAACGTGGCAATATTTGAGATTCAAATCAAACCGGTGTCTTGCAGTTTCATTTGCTCTGCCTGCGAACCTACCCCAGGGCGGCCCAGCCCGGCTGGGTCCGTCTTTCCCAGGTAAGGGAAGAATGCAGAAGCCCCCCACTAAAACGTAGTGGGGGGCATTCCCAGATGCGTTTCTTGGCTGAGATGGAAAATACCCGGCAGCCCAAAGCCAGGCCTTGGGTCAGCTGTGGATTTTGGTAGACAGGAGGCAGAGGACAGGGTCCCCACCTGCCTGGGGCGAGGCAGGCCACTCCAACTGCATTAACCTCTCCACGGGTTGGGCCTCTTCCTCCTTTTCTTCTTATTATGGTAAAATGTGTATAGCATGACAGTTGCCATCCGACGACCGTTTCTGCGAATCCATTTCAATGGCATTAGTCCCCACTCACAATGTCCCAGCTCAGAACGCTCTCATGGTCCCATGCTGAAGCTCTGCCCCCTTCAGCACCAGCTCCCGCTCCGTTCCAGCCCGGGCTCCCCGGGGACCTCCTGTGAGTGGATCCTGCAGAGTGTGTCCTGTGTCTGGCTCTCCCCGAGCGGCGTCCTCTGGGTCTGTGCAGTTGGAGCACGTGACGGAAGGCCCCTGGCTGGCTGGCTGATGCTCTGCCGTCTGGATACAGCACGCGTCTTTACGCGGTGTGACTCCTGCATCACCCGACACCAGGGCGACTTCCGCCTGGCTGGTGGGAAGAACGCGTCTCTCTTTGCGCCCCAGCTTTCCGTTCTTGGGGGTGAGCGCCCAGAGGCAGAGTCGCTGGGCCATGGGTGGTGACGCTCACCTTTCCGCAGCCCCTCCGTGCTGTTCTCCTCAGCCCTTCTTGCACCTTTCCGAGGCTCGGTCATTCTTGCCCTCTGCTTCCCTGCTCCCTCCTTCTCTTCCTCCTCCCTCTTCCTTTAAACACCGCATCCCTGGATCCTATGGAATACCTGTGGTTCTGGCTCGGGTGGGCTAAGGACCGCCTGGCCCCGATGTGACTTCCAGGGCAGCCTCCTTCCGGATCTGGCCTTTTTCCCCAGGCCGTCCATTCCCAACCCCGGTGCCTGGACAGCCTCCTTCTGACGCCGTCTCTTTACCATTGCCCCCCAAGGTTTCCTGGCGTCTCTGGTTTCCATCCTCTACAAATATAAACACGTCAGGACAGCCTCTCGGCCCGGCCCGGGCCTCCCTCCTTCTCCTGCATCTGGCCTCCCTCATCGGAGGCAGAGGTGGGAGCCAGGCCAGAGCTGGGGGGAGAGGGGTCCTGGCCAACGGTGGCACAGGCTGTCCAGCCCTCCTCCAGAAGGTGCCCTGAGCCGGGGAGGGCTCACCCTTTGCTTGGAAGCTTGTGCCCATCCTCTGACTTATTTCCTGGGAGAGGAAAGACAGGCGGCAGCCCGCGGGGGCCTTTGCTGGCTCTGGTTAAACATTACGCTGGTCCTGACCATCCACCCGGGCTCGCGCTGTCCAGATCCAGGGGAGCCTGGGGGATGGGCTCCCCCAAGTCAAACCCAGAAGGCTAAACATTCCAGGGCTCCCCATTCTGGAGGGAATGCACAGACACGCTTTCATTTCAAAAGTGTCAGCGGCCATCCGTCCTGGTGTCTGCCGGGAGACGAAGACAGCTCACCCAAGGAGTCAGGCGTATTGCTTCTCTGGTCTCATTTTGCTCTGTTTAAAAGTGACTTAATTTCAAAACAAGATGGCCAGTAAGTACAGGCTGAGCGTCCCTGACCCCAGATCCAAGTGTTCCAAAAGCCGAAACGTTCTGAGCCCAACATAACACCACAAGTGGAAAATCCCACACCCGACCTCATGTCCGGTCACAGCAAAAGGAGCAAAATTCAGAGACCCTAAAAATGGAAAAGGACCTTTGGACTATGTGTACGAGGTGCATGCAAGGCGTCAACGAACTTCAGTTCCCATACGCAATGACTCCCAAATCCAAAAGAAAAGAATTCTGAAACCCAAACACTTCTGGCCCCAAGCAACTCGGATAAGGGATCCTCAAGCTGCAACAAGGCTGCCGAATGGAGGCCACAGCCACTGGGCGTTCCTGCCGCGGCTTCGTTAGCTCAGCGTGACCCCAGACCCGCTCCTAGGCCTGACTGACCCTTGGTTTTCCCGTCTCTAAAATGGGCGCACTGCTGCCCTCCACGTCCATGACGACTCCAGAGGGAGTCAGCTTCCTGTCCTCATGGAGCTGAGTGGAGAAGCTGGGGACGGCACCCAGCTCCTACTGTCGACTGCGATAGAAGTGACCAGGCAGTGGGCTAGGGGAGAACTGGGAGGCAGCTGTCCTTGTCCACAGGGCGCTAAGGAGGGCTTCCTGGAGGAGGGGACACCCGACAAAGGCCAGAATGAGAAGAGCTGCTAGGCAGAGGCTGCTGGTGAGACGTCAGCAGGCCAGCTGGAGCTTCCGCCAGTAGCCATGGGGGGCCTGGCGGGTGGGGTGGCCACAGTCCTCCTTCAGAAAGCCCGTTCGAGGTGCAGAGCGGAGATGGGCTGGATGGGCCAGGATGAAGGCTGGGAACCGGGTAAGACCCGTGAGGTCACCAGGGTGAGCCATCACGGAGGCGTCCACCAGGGCGGTGGCAGGAGGGCGAGCTGGGTGGAACTGAGGGCTCACCAGGGCTCAGCGTTCGAGGGACTTGGCAGCCGACAGGAGGGAGGGAACCAGGACAAGGCCCAGGTCTCCAGCTCTGGTGGCCGACTGGGTGACGTTGATAGGATTGCAGAAGAGAGACGGACTTGCCGCAGGGACAGATCCTCCTTCCGAACACCCGGGGCTTCCTGTCTCTCCGGGACCCGTGGTTTCTCTGTCGCTGTGTCACCCACCCAACTGCCTGCCGCCCTGGGTCCTCTTTAAAGTGGTCCAGGTCTAGGACAGGGCTAGGACCGACACCCGGGCCATTCTCACCCAAGCAGGGTGATTCTGGGGGCGGGGGACAGTCACCTCTGAGCCCTTGCCCAGGAGTCACCTGCTTTCCTGGGTAACCCACCAGCAGAGGCCGACTGACCTGGGGACATGAAGGCAGGGCCATCTGCGCTGTTGGCATGTGTTTTCCCCGAGTCCGTGGTTGGAAGCTTGGTCCTCAGGGCGGTGGTGTTGGGAGGCAGCACGGAACCTTCCAGAGGTGGGACTCGGTGGGAGGGCCCTGGGCCAGCTGGGAGTGTGCCCGTGGGACCCAGACTCTCTGGCTTCCTGTCTCGAGATGTGGCCTCTCGTTCCCACATGTGCTCTGGCCATGGTGCCACTGACCTCGGGCCTTGCCATGATTTGGTTGTGGGCAGTGACCCCAGAGGTCCGTGGGTTACAGGCGTGGCCCCCGGTTTGGCCTTGTTGGTTTGGACGTGAGGTGCGCCCCAGACGCTCCTGTGTTGATGCAGGAGGTGGATGGCGAGATCCCGGCAGCCGGCCCCTGAGCTGGCCCCTGAGCCGGCCAGCCTGACCTGAGAGAACTGAGCGGGCAGGTCCCAGCTTCCGCGTAGTTGGAGGAGTTAGCCGGCCGGGGCCATGCCCTGGGGGACTGTATCTTGTCCTCCTGCTCCCTGCCCTCTGCTGCCTGGCCTCCCTGTCCCCAGCTGCTTTCCTCGGCCACGCCCTTCTGCCACGATGCTCTGCCTCACCTGGGCCTGGAGCAGTGGAGTCGCCTGACCACGGACTGGACCTCTGAGACCATGAGCCCAGGTAAACCCTTCCTCCTCTACGTTGCTTTGCCAGGCATTGTGCTCATGTGAAAAGTTGGCTCACAGAGCACTTTGGGGAGGTGCCTGAGCCATTGAGAGGTGGGGCCTAGCGGAAGTTCCTGAGGTCACCAGGGAGGGGCATGTCCGTGGAGGGAACACCAGGTTCTCAGTCTCTCTTATGCTTTCTGGTTTATGAGGTGAGTGGTTTTCTCTGCTATCATTCCTGCTTCTCTCCCCAGAGCCCCAAAGTCATGGGATAGAGCCTCAATCTTGCATGGGAACCTCCAGAACCATGAAACAAAACAACCCTTTTCTCTTTATAAATTAATTTCCTCATGTATTTTGTTATAGCAATGAAAAGTGGACTAATACACCATCTCAGATCAACTCCTTCTGCATGTGCTCCCTGGGAATCCAATTCACACCACTTGGTCATCTCTCTCCCTAGCAGAGCTGGAGTGGAGCTGTGTTCATGAAGTCATGACTCAGCCCCTTCTTCCTCAGGATTACACCTCCCCATCCCAGTGGGGCCTTTCCCCAGAAGCAGGCTGGAGGTTGTCATGAGGACATTTGCCAAAATCTCAATCCTAGCCCAAGCTTCAACCACACAGCAGAGGGTCTGATGTGAAGCAAGTCTTCCTTCTATCTAGCCTATTCATCCATCCATCCATCAATCTACTTATCCATCCATCCATCTACCCACCCATCTATCTATCCATCCATGTCCCTACCATCCATCCATTCATCCACCCATCCATCCACCCATCAACCCATCCATCCATCCATCCATCCATCTTCCATCATTCCCTCCCTCTTCTTATTCCAGAAAGGACTCTAGTCCCTCATCTGTCACACAAGATGGTAACCACTTCACCCCTCTTCAGTGAGAGCTCGCTGAGACTGGGTAACAGACGGGTGCTACACAAAGTGCACTTGCTGTCCCTGTTGTCACGGGCTCCTGCCCTTCTCACAGCCAGACACCTGCCTGCTCATCCTCCATGGTGGAGATGGAGTCGGGGCTCTCAGGTGTCCAGGCTTCGTGACTGCTCTTGGTGGCCAAGGCGGCAGCTCTGGAGTCAAAGGGTTGGACGCATGGCTTGGGCTCAGAGCCTGTGGAGGAAGGAGGGGCAGGGGTCAGGGCTGAGCTGGGAGGGCAGAGCAGGCCAGGACCTCGGTCGGTTCTGCACCTGCCCCTGCTCACCCGGGTTGTTGGGATGATGGGAAGAGGGATGAGCTTTTGGCAAAGATCTTTCGGTGACCTCGAGGCCACTGTGTGCGCTACCTCCCTCAGCCTGAGCCTACGGCAGACATTCCTAGTCAAGCGCCAGCTCTTTCCTGCTGAGCGTTTGCTCTGTTTTGAGCAGCCATGGCCAGCCGATCCACGTGGCTTCACCAGATGCAAGTTCCTGATGCAGGAGAGGCTCTAATGGGGGAATTCAGTCTCCCTCTTCTTTCCACATACCCTCATCTCCCTTCTGACCTTGAAGTCCCAAAGTCCCAGAGTTCCGGGGACCCGTGGGCAGCACAGTGGAGAGGAGAAAACAAGGGCTTTGGGGTCCACCAGACAGGTCCTTCCAGAACCCTCCAGTAATGGTTGTACGAGTTTGGAAAGTATCCAGGGTTCCTGTTCACTGTACAGCGGGGGTTCCCCGCGGCTGGGTGGATCCCATCTCCCGGTCCTCCTGTTCCAGGGTACTTATGACGGTGCTCTGGGGTTTGCTCCCTAAAGGGTAGGAAGATACACTGCACCATGTCCATAGCTGATGTAGCCAGCAGGGGACGGAGAGGGAGGTGACGCCCCTGCCCACCCCAATGTGGGATGAACCGAGGGAGGGCGATGGGCAGTGCTGTCTGTACCCACTTTATATTCAGGGGTGGGAGCTGGGGCAGGTGGAGATTGTAGGTCAATAGATACAAGTAGGTGAATTTCTTTTCTTTTTTCTTTTGTATTTTTAGGTTGAATTCAGGGGCACTTAAACACAGAGTCACATCCCCAGCCTGTAGGTATATATATTTTAAAATATTTTTAGATGTTGATGGACCTTATTTTATTCACTTATTTATATGCGGTGCTGAGAATCGAACCCAGTGCCTCACACATGCTAGACAAGTGCTCTACCACTGAGCCGCAACTCCAGCCCTTATTTTTATTCTTTATTTTGTGATAGGGCTTCACTGAGTTGCTGAGGCTGGCCTTGAACTTGCTCTCCTCCTGCCTCAGCCTCCTGAGCCACTGGGATGACAGGTGTGCACCACCGTGCCTGGCTCATGAATTTCTTTTTAGGTTAATGAAAATATTCTAAAATTGATGTGGTCTCGGGTGCACAACTCTGTGAGTGTGCTAAAAACCCTGGGCTTGTATGCTTTAAGTTGGTAAATTGCATAGTAAGTGAATTATATCTCAACAAACAGTTACAACACAGTGTGGCGGGGGCCCCGGGCCAAGCCCTGGAAGGCAGGCACCGGTGGTGGAGGACACGCCGTGCTGTGGCCAGCCGTGGCCTCCACCAGGACACCGCCCCCACCCCTCGCTACCCGCGGCAGGTCGGAGCCACTCGGTGCCCTGTCCTCATCAAGCCTTGAAGCTCCCCTCTCCCCACCCTAGAGCTAAGGCATTTCTTGCCTTGGTCAGAACTAAACAGTCTGCGAGGGAAGAGGAAAGACAGGCGCAGGGGTCCGTCCTGGAGGCCGATGGGGGCCCTGGGGGACCCGGAGTCCCCAGGGGCAGCAGGGGGCAGTGGGGTCTGCCTGCCCCAGTAGGTGGGCCTGTGAGGAGGCCTGAGGACAGACAGACCCTCCCGCCCTGTGCTAGTGAATCCTGAAGCTCTGGGATCCAAGGCCAAGGATCAGGGGTCAGGGCTGGGTCAGTCTTTATGTGGACGTTTCTGACCCCAGGGACAAGCCAGAGTCTGACCTGGTGACACACTCAGCCCTGATCCTGTTTCAGAGACTGAGTCCCAGTCACAGATGAGCCCCATCCTGGTGTCAGACTGAGCCCTGACCTTGGTGTCACGGTCCGGGCCTCATCTTGCTGTCAGGATGAGCCCAGATCCCGGTGTCACAAGCCAACCCCAACCCTGGTGTCACAGACGGAGCTTCCAATCCAGGGCCACACACTGGACCCGGACCCCAACACAGACTGGGCCCTGAGCCTCGGGTCACACATGGAGCCCTGATACTGGGGACAGATTCGGCCAGGCTCCTGGTTTGTCCCCCGTCACTGCCCCCAGCGCAGCCCAGCCCCGGGCTGCAGAGCACAAGCCCATCACTGCCCTCTTCCGTCTCCTCCTGCGAGACTGAGGCAGCTTCCCGATGAGCAGGCCGCGGGGTGGAGACCGGCCTCCCTCTTCCTCACCCCCCCAGGACGCCAGCCTTATCGGTTTCACCTCTGTGACATCACTCTGTCCCCTCTGTACTCGGTCCTTGTCTCCGTTTCAGCCCTTCCTACAACCTATAACAACGCCTGGTGTCATCACTGAGCCCCGACCCCCTGTCATGGCCTGGGTCCTCACCTGAGGACTGAGCCTGTTCCCAGTGTCATGAACTGGGTCTTGGACTGAGCCCCCATCCCAGGGTCACAGACGGAGTCCTCATCTGAGGAATGAGCCCAATCCCAGTGTCATGAACAGACCCCTCACCTGTCGAGCCCTGATCTGATGTCACAGACTGGTCTTCATGCCCTCTCATAGGCTAGACCTTTGTCCCCATGTCCTGGGCTGAGCCCTGGCCCCAGTGTCCTAGGTGAGCGCCATCAATTGCCAACCACAACTCCCGCTAACCTTCAGCCACCAGTCTCTCCCGTCCAGTCCATCTCTGTCTTCGGGCGGGTGTGTCTTCCCAGCACCACACTTCGGTGGTCACTGTCCTTTTACTGCCCTCCCCCATAGGCACCAGTCTCCTTAGAATGTCACTCAAAGCTCTCCGCAGCCTTCCCTCTCACGTCCCCTCCCTCACGGGTCCCCACCTCCCCATTCTGCTTGTGGCTCTGGCCTGTTCCCTCCTCCTTCCTGCCCTTCCTGCAGGAAGCTGAACTCCGGCCTTGCTCTGAGTTGTTGTTTGCTCTTCCTGGACCAGGGCTCTGCAAAACCACGGCTCAGCAAATCTGGGTTCTCAGGCATCCAGCAGTAAACTCTTGGGTGTGTGGACCACGTCCTAGATGCCTGCCTAGGTGCTTCTCATTCTCCTGTCCCCAGTGTCCCCAGGAGTCCTAACTTATCGAGCGGGGAATGGAGGCTTGGAGAGGTACATTGACTCTACCAAGGTCACACCAGACTGGCACAGGACAGAGCTGAGGTTGAACACGTGTATTTCTGAATTCAGAACAAGGACTCACACCCACCAGCCTGTCCTGGGCCGTGTCGGGCTGGGCAGGGTCTGTGCTCACGGGCTTGTTGATGAATGGATCGATTCACGATGGATGGTTGGAGGGTTAATTGGCTGGCTGGAGGGTTGGATGGCTGGTTGGATGGACAGACGGATGGCTATATGGATGGAGGGTTGGTTGGATGGACAGACGGATGGCTATATGGATGGAGGGTTGGCTGGATGGACAGACGGATGGTTGTATGGATGGAGGGTTGGCTGGATGGACAGACGGATGGCTGTATGGATGGAGGGTTGGCTGGATGGACAGATGGATGGCTGTATGGATGCAGGGTTGGCTGGATGGACAGACGGATGGCTGTATGGATGGAGGGTTGGTGGGATGGACAAATGGATGAATGGTTAGATTAGATGTATGGTGGTGGATGGACAGGTAACCGGCCAGCTGGATAGGAGGATGGTGGTTGGATGGGGTGGGCAGGTGGGTGAGGTGGTGACTTGTCGGCTGCTTGACTGGCTGGTGGGTGGACGGAGGGTCCACGTTGGAGGAAGGTGGAGTGTCTGTGTCCAGAGGCAGTGATGGGCTACATTCCGAAGATGGCATTCTGAGGAGATGCAGGGGGAGAAATGGGAGGAAGAGGGGAGGGGCCAGGCGGGGAGGACACAGGTGACCTACAGGCACTACCTAGGCACTCCCTGGGGAGGGGGAAGCGTGTGGACAGAATGGGCCCCTCACTGCAGGGCTCAGTCCCCTCTTCCAGGGCCAACCCCGCGGCTGCCCTGGCAAGTCCCCTTAGGTCCGGGGCAGCCAATGGCCGAGCTTCCGAGGGGCCCAGAATGGCTATGGCTGTGGTTCTCAGGGCGCCCAGAGGAAGGGATGCTGCTGTGAGAGTCACTGGGGGAGGAAAGTCAGGGATGGGGCTCAGCCGCACTCGGCCCCCCTCACCCCTTGCCGCTCTCCAGGGGGCCGCCCACCCGCCTGGGTTCAGGTCCAGGGTAGCCTCCGCCAGCCCCAGCAGCATCAGCCATAAAAGGGTGTAAGAATCACTGTCAGTCCCCTTGGC